TATTCAACATTCAATGTTTGTTGGGATATCATTAACTCATTTTTTGTTTTTATTTTGCTACTTAGTCCCTTCTGACTTAACAACGCTAATATGATCTTGTATAGTAAAATGTAGTGCTGTTTTACATTCAAAATCGTCCATTTATATTTTTACTGGTCTGAGTAAAAGTATTCTGAGGGATTCTGAGTCTAATTTGGTGCAAATGCGCAATAACTTGTTTATTTTTCCACCAAATGGGCTGAATGCTTCAAAGGCTTCCAAAAAATGTATTTTAGAAGATTTCCGCATAAGGACTTGTTGAAGGACACATCGTTCCACAGATATTCCGGTATTATTTGGGGTGCTAACATGCTAACGGTATCCCAACTACCGTAGGGTTGCCATCCACCGCTCACGGTGTCTTCCTTTACCTTCCTTTAGCATCCTTTCGACAAGCAATTGCGTCTTCTTAGGATCATGAGTGGTTATCTTACGGTGATTCCAGTATATCCAGTGCTTGAATCTATACTAGAAGATATTTCTGGAACCATCTAAAAACTTCACCCCATTTCAAAAGCCACATGTGAAAAGAGCACACAAGTCTTCTGTGAACAAACCCTTGCAGTCCCTTCTCTCGTCACCCGACAACATCACATATGATGGGACCGCGAGAGTTAAGGCATGCGAAACAGCGAACGGCGATGGCGCCCTGTGAGAGCGCATTGAGATGTTTCAATGAAACAGTCGCATGTGATTGAATACATGCGTCACATTGAGAGAGCAATGCGATGAGACAAAAACAAATTGAAACGCTTGAATTTGTTGAGAGCGTGTAGCTTGTCGCGCGTATAGTTGTGGTCTCTCTTTTGTACAATTAATGTAGCACACCATGGATTTGAGAGTTATGCGATGCTCCGTCTCACAGCTCGCTGTCGCATTTGTGTACGCGTGAGATTTCCGGAAGCCTGTTGTAAACTTTAACCTTACAGTGCTGATCGTCTACCTCAGCCATCGACAGAACGACGACTCACGATCTTCCAGTTCACAACGTGGAGGTACAAAGGCCTCCGAAAGGTAAAGATCAGGCCACTACATATATGGAACGATAGGTCAACGCTGTGTCACCTCGACAGAGGGCCTTTATTTCCAGATCTAATTCCTTGGCAGTCCAGTACGGCAGCGACCGTGCCACTCGGACGACTAGTCGCGAAACTCCAAGATCCGCGCATCCCGAACCGTGGCCTGGAGTGGACCAATCTTCTGTCGGTATTTTCTCTTCCAGGCTGCCTAGTGCAGCGGTGCAACGTGCAGTGTAAGTGGAAGATATGTGTAGACGACGCGGCAGTAGCAATAAGACGGTGCGACGGGCTACAACGGTGCAACGGAAGGGTCGCTGCATGACGCGCACTACTACATCGACACAAGTTTATTCGATTGAGCCTGTACAAATAAATTAATATAAAAAAAAAATACATCGACACAGTGAGTGGCGCGACAAGAGTCAGCGCAGCTTGCAACGGTCACCGACCGTGCTACAAAATAGAGATTCGACGTTGGTTGCAACACACCATTGCTGTGCGACGGCGGTGCATGAGTGCATGGATCTGCGATGCAACAAAGGGTGATGACCCCATCGGAGATCGACAAGATTGCATGCAGCTAAAGTGACATCAAGGGGCCCCAACGTCACGTGTAGCAGATAAGATTAATGTATTTATGTAGATTAGAGTGATGCATAATTTGAAATTTTCATTCCACAATACTTAAACGATTCCAATTCAGATCCTGACAAAACTCTCAAAATTTGAACCCATTTGGTGAGAAACTGAGATGGCACAAACCATTTAAAGTTTGTATGGGAATTACTATGGTAAATCCAAAATTTTTGTTCATGTCTATCTAATAATTCACCATATCGGTTTGCTTTCAACTGTTCTTGTAGGAATTTTTTCCAGCTACAACTTTGCTAAAGACTACTTTTTGATTAAATGCAAGGATCGAAAGTTATCAATGGTTCAATGCGCTGATGTCTTATGATCATGCTCAATCAACTGCTCAGCAGGCAACATTGGTGTTTCTGGGAGGTTCAATAGGACACAAAAATCATGGCTACTATGTCACACTGCTAAATACAGTGTTGCCTACAGAGCAGCTGCTTGATCATGTCATAAGTTTACCAATCTCTTAAATAATTAATAACTTTTTCCTGTCTCGTTTTACATAGAAACGATCTTGAGCAAAGTTGTAGCTGAGAAAATTTTCTATAAGAATGGCTATCAAACTGTTTCGCAGCTCAATATGGAAAAAAACTAGAAGGTAATGATCAAAAAGTTGAGATTTCCCATAGTAATTTATGAAGAGGGCGACACATCTAAATCTCAATTCTAGATGCTCCGAAAATCTCACACTAGCGAATGAATCTTCGAAAAAACTCCTATCATTTTTCGCATCTTCTTGCATCGAGCATCATCTTTTGGCAGGAAATCGTCAGAATCGTCATCAATCTTCTTTCTATCTAGTCAGCGTGTGCGCAGCTAACCACATCAAATCAAAAACTTTCCTGCATCGCAGATAGAGTCGCCCCCCTCGTTAATTTACATGTAAACTTCAAATGGCTTGTGCGAAGTCTGTTTCTAACCAAATTAGTTGTAACTTTGGGAGGCTAATCAGGACCCGATTTGAAACCATTTAAGCACTGTGGAGCGAAAAAGTCAAATTTTGCATCAGTCTAATGTAGATAGATAAGTTTGAGATGTGTGATGGGCATGAAATGAGTATTATATGGTAAAGTTACAAACAATCCACAATATTGTACCTTGATTGAGTTTTCACGAATTAAATCGTCCTCGTTTCATTCCCGGCCATTAGTAACTAGTGTACCTCGTTTCTTCTGAGTGGCTAGCCAGCCCAAATAAGAGTTTGAGCGGTGTATACACACCAAAGGTCCATTTCTCACTTGGTGGTACCACCCACACGATACCGTTGACTTACTTAGCTCTAATATCTTTCGATACTTTGTTCAAGTATCCGGCAACTTTCCAGTCATAATCGGAAATTGTCACAAGGTTCGCAGGCAAGTTTATTCTCTCAGGGCAGCTCAATGAATAAGATTTTCCGAGCACTGCTCACTTGCATGTTTCATCAAAAATAGCTGGGATATAATTATGCCCTTCATACGGTGTTAATTTGAAAAACAGTTATAGTTTTAAATCATGCCACCCTGAGACTTGAAATAAAACAAAAAAAAAAGTTTGAAAGCATTACGTTTAAATCTGTACTAAGAGGAGATTTATTAGATAAAAATCATCAGTTCAAATGGGCGTAGTCGGTTCATGTTAGCTTTTATGAATTACATCGTATCGGTCATGAGCTAAAAAAGTTACACGTGAATCAAATAAAATTTCCAAATAGCTTCAAATCACGTTTTCATAACAGTTGGAGTCAGTACTTTTTCTTCCACTCCGACTCCATCTCCTTATGCTCAAAAATGCGTCTAATTCCGACTGCGACTCCACAGCCCTATATTGGATACAAATGGTGTTGATTTCGGTTATATTATGTACTTTAAAATCAACATTAAATTCCTCTTAGAGCTATTATCTTGATATCGTGCAAGTGTATGCCATTAAATAATTTAGGTAAATATTGTGTGAAACCATCTTGCTTAGTTTGTTTTTAATTATATTCTTAGAAAGTGATTATTTTGTGTTTGGAAACCTATTAGCTGCATGATTTTAAAGTTAATAGTTCCTAAAAGATTAAAATGTTTGAATTCTGTTTATTTTAAAACTACTCTTAATTTTAAAATTTCATTGGTAACAATTTCAGTCAATTAATTTTTTTAAATTTACCTAAATTCTTGCGATAATTGCATTATCCAGAAATGAATGCTTTATTAATGCCTATTTACATATTCATATCAATTACCTGTCCACAGTATGATAATGCATTCACCTGATGGTTCAATCCATCATATTCCCATGTATCCATTTCGCCCTGCTAATTAACTTTGTTGAATTAATAAATTTCAGGTATACAAACGGCATCATCTTTGTAAATTAAATTTCGCAAATGTTCAGTCGAAATGGAAAACAACTTCATCCCCTCAGTCCAGTCCATATTGAACATGACCGGCGCAATGTCGAGAGATGATGCTAGCTAGCAACAAGTTTTAAATTCAACCGCACGCATTGAAATTCAATTCCGGAATATTGTGCCATTCAATAAAATCACATACAGCAGGTTAAAAACCTCCACGTCGCGATGATGGCCTGATCTGATGTACCGGGATTGAATGTACCCAGGTACAATAAATTCATTTTCAATTTCATTCAATTCAAATTAGCCGCGGAGCGTGATATGGTTCCGATTCGATGAAGTTTTATTTTTACTCCATTCGCTGGCCAGTTTTTTTTTTTCACTCCCAGCTGTGAAGTTGCCCTTTATCATTTTCCATGCCGCACGCGATGGTCGATGAAGCGCGATAGTGCACTGAATGAAATTTAATTCTGGTGTAATGATATAAAATATGAATTAATGTATTAATTAAGCGATGATTGGTGGATCACCTAAAAGGATTTTTAAGGTTAATTTACCTTCAATTTTTAAATTATTATCGCCCACAATCATTAATACAGAAAAGTAACATAAAACAGGCCATAAGGGCTCAAACGTTCGGTTTCACGGTCCAGTATCGAGACCACCGGTCGCCCGCCATTGTCGGCTCCAAAAAGCACCACCAATCGACCGCGAGCGCGTACGAAACCTGACTCAATAAATGAATATTGATATTTTTCGCATCATGAATATCAATTACCAAGCCGATCGATGAGCTTCATAAATGCGTACGCAAATTGAATGAGCATTTTACGTTTCAGTGCGAAAAGTGGTGCCACTGCGGCTGAAAATTAACAGAATCAACAGATTTTACCTCCCTCCGTCACAGAGCCACCGACCGACCCAAATGAATTATTGAAACATGATAAGAAGGGAAAAAAATGAGGCGACAAGGGAACACCTACCTGTTTCATCAATTTTGCATTCACCGCCACGGCAGACGATGGACTGGAAGTCCTTCCCGAGGCAACCGAATCCACTGCTGGTACTTGTGATGCCGCCTCCTCCTACGCCACCGTCCTGCTCCTCCCGATCGTCCATCAGGGCGGCCAACTGTTGATGGTGCTTTACCAAGGCTTTGTCGTAGAACTCCAAATTTTGGGCTCGGCAGACTCGGCGGCGTATTTGGACGCACTTGGTTGAGCACATGCTCCACGTTGACCAGGCGGACCAGCGACGAACTGGAATGAAGAGGAATGGTTGGGATTCAGTGAGCATTTAAAACAAAATTAGACATATGAAAATTGAAACCATATTGAAATGGGAGCCCTAGGACAATTGATGAAACGATACATAAAAAAATGAACAATATTCCTTAAAGATCCAAGATCCTTCCAAATTAAATACTAATGTTACTATGATCCATAGTTTCCGTTAAATTTAGCAACACAATTGTAAAAAATTAACGCTCAATTTCTAAAGAATGAGCATTTTAACTGTACGCATTTCCTGTAAATGAAATATTAATGATGCATGAAACATTCATCATTGAACCAGAAACTAACGAAATTGATCCATAGAAAATCAAGTTCGCGCTCTTAAAAAAATAAAGAAATGATCCATAAATTGGACATTATTTTTTTTAAATTTGATCCATCAACCTTAGAAAATTGCTCCATAAGTGCATAGCTCCTCAGATTTACTGTCCTGTCCATGTTAGTTTTTAGTTATAGGAGCGGAGCGGCGGGTAAGAGTCTAGAATAATGGGCTAAAATAAACTTGTAGAATAAGCTTTTAAAAAAAGTAGAAGGGTCTGTGCCTAGGGGCACGAACGGAAGCTTAACGTAGGACCGCTAGTGGACGGAATAAATGTGAAGAGCATTAAGTTCTTTTAATTGATCAAATATCTATTATCTCAACTCGTTCCGTTTTTGAATTGTAGGCGTACCAAATTTGTAGTGATCTTTTTCAAAAAAAAAAAGTTGATTACGAGAATCAATCAAAATCACTTGCACCACAACACTCTTTGCTCGACTGTTGAGCTGTTCAGTTCGTTTTCTTTTTCGCTCGAGTTCTCGCTTCGATTCGGTTTGTGCTGTCGCGTTGCGCCGTGGAAGCGTCGCCACCTTCGCGCGTTCTGGCAAGTTTACTGCAACTTGCCAACACGAAACAAATGGTGCGTAAACGTACCAATGATTCAGCAGCGGGCCCTTCAAAGAAAGTGGTAATCCAGCACAGCGCGTCGCAGGATGACGCCGGAAAACGGGTACTGCAAGCCAACCAGTTTGCGGTGCTCCCCGAAGAAAATGGCGATGGTGACGTCGTTCCCATCGCTGCAAGAGAGCGGATTCCCCCGCTTTTCACGCCGGAGAAGGATGTTGCCAAGCTGCGTGCCGAACTGGCAAAACACAAGTTGCTGCCTCGCTTCAAGCTTTGCAGCATCGGCACCAAAATCATGTGTTCCAGCCTGGAGGAGTACAATCAAACAGGATGTTTCCTAAAGGAAAACAACGTTGACTTCTTCACGCACGATCTGCCATCGAGCAAGCCACTGAAGCTGGTATTGCGTGGATTACCGTCGTTCGAGGCGGCTGTGGTTAAATCCGAGCTGGAGCGGCTTGGGCTCAAACCTGAGGCGGTGTTCCCAATAAACCGGCGTTCCAACCACAACACCAGCTTCCGTGACCAGTTGTTCCTGGTGCACTTCACGAAGGGATCCACCAGTCTAGCGGCTCTGAGATCCAAAATCCGGGACCTGTTTCAGGTCATCATCAGTTGGGAGCATTACAAATCCCAACATCGTGATGTTACGCAGTGTATGAACTGCCTCTCCTACGGCCATGGCACCAAAAACTGCCATATGAAGACTATCTGCGGCAAGTGTGCTGGAACTCACTCGACTGCGTCCTGTGAGCAAGATGATGACATCGAGCCAACGTGTGTCAACTGCGGTGGTAACCACCAAGCCTCCAATCGCGGATGTCCCAAGCGAGTGGAGTTCATCAATATCCGTCGGAAGGCTACGATCAATAATCAGTCCGGTCGCCTCCGTAATCATCGTTCGCCTCCTGCACGCACGGAAGTCCAGTACCCAGCTCTCCAGCCCCGTCGACATGTTCCGAACTTAGAACCACTTCCTCTCAACAACCAACAAGTCAAGCATGTGAGTATTCCTAACAATCGAACAGTCCAGCATCGTCTCGCTGCTGCTGCTGCCCAGCCAATGCCAGGTCCCTCCACCGCCCCTGGTTTATCATACGCTGGTGTTGTCTCAGGTGAGCCTGTCGACGATTCTCCGTTCACCTCGGAGGAACTTGTGACGCTCGTGGCCGAGGTCATCATCATCTTGCGCACCTGCAAGACTCGATCTGAACAGCTTCATGCTGCCCTGTCCCTTGTCACTAAGTATGGACCGTGAAGCCATCAAGATCGTAAATTGGAACGCTTGCTCCTTGAAGAGCAAAAACATCGAGTTTGTTGAGTTTCTCAATGAACGAAACATCGACATTCCCAACGAACAATTTGAGCTGATTAAAAGCTAGATAAGCAATTTTTCAGCTGAAGAAGCACATATTTGCCTGAATAAGCTCTTATCCAACATTCAATGTTTGTTGGGTTGCCATCATAACTGAAACCCACCTGAAGCCTGAAACAAACGTCTACCTTCCCGATTTCCGGCTCGTGAGGCTAGATCGAACCAACTCTGGAGGAGGAGGAGTGGCTATTGCAATAAGGAGAAACATCTGCTGTCGACTGATGCCCAGCTTTCAGCTGAAGATCATCGAAGCCGTAGGGGTGGAAGTTTCTACTCCTATCGGCCCCATCACCATCGTCGCGGCTTACTGCCCCAAACAAGTCAACATCAGGGACGGATCGGCAGCAGATCTGCGACGAGATATTATCAAGCTAACACGACGACGGGAAAACTTTATCATCGCTGGCGACCTGAACGCCAAACATCAAGCTTGGGGCAACAATCGGCGCAATCAAAACGGCACCATCCTGAACAACGACCTGCAGGAAGCGCAGCACAACATCTTGAGTCCGGAAACTCCCACCCGGTTGAGTCGGTCCGGTGTTCACGCTACCATCGATATCTTCATCAGCAACATGGGCAACAACATCGCTCAACCTATCACCTATCAGGAACTCAGCTCGGACCACTACCCGGTGGTGACTGAGGTGGGATCCTCCGTAAATCGATTTGAAACTTTCCGGCGCAACTATCATCGTGTTGACTGGGGTCAGTTCCAACATTGCGTCGACACCGCTGTAGACTACGATGTCCAACCGGAATCGTCCGAAGATGTTGACCGGTGTCTGCGCTCCATCGATCAAGCAATTTCCCGGGCCAGGGAGCTACATGTGCCAGTATCCAGACAGGTGAGTAACACTCTGAACCTTGACAGGCCTACTAAAGACCTCATTAGACTCCGCAACACGATCCGTAGGCAGTACCAGCGTACTGGGCTGCCTAACCTGAAGACCAATTGCAACCGTTTGAACAAAATCATCCAAGCCAGGATGGTGGATCTCAGAAATATCGATTTTGCAAACAAGATTCGCTCTTTCCCAGATTGTGCTAAGCCATTCTGGAAAATGGCAAAGATTTTGAAAAATAAGCCGAGGCCCATTCCTCCCCTTTCCTCTCCCAACCAAAATTCGGACCCATCTTTACTAATAACCCCATTTGAAAAGGCCAATGCTCTTGGACAACACTTTGAAAATTCACATAACCTTGGCCACGCCATGGTGAGTCCCCACGAGCCTGCAGTATCACAGGCAATGGCTAGTGTCGCTGCCACCCCCGTAGTTGTCCCTGACGAAAGTAGAATATCGGCTGATGAGGTGATAGCAGCGATTAAATCAACAAAGAACATGAAGGCCGCTGGTGTCGATGGAGTGGTCAACCTCGAGCTGAAAAACTTGAGTGTTGACTTCTTCAAGCACCTTGCAGTGGTCTTCAACAAGTGTTTAATGCTTGGCTACTTCCCTGCATGCTGGAAGTTAGCCAAAGTTATTCCAATTCACAAACCTGGCAAAGACCCTACCAGTGCCAAAAACTATCGCCCCATCAGCCTCTTGTCCTCCATCTCGAAGCTATTCGAAAAATTGATACTCAGCCGTCTGCTGGTGTGTCCAAATGATAATAACATATTTCTCAAAGAGAAATTCGGGTTTAGGAAAGGCCACTCTACCATCCACCAACTCGCACGGGTTACTAACATCATCAAGCGGAACAAGTCCGTTTCCAATACATCTGCCATGGCATTGTTGGACGTCGAAAAGGCGTTCGACAATGTCTGGCATGATGGTCTAGTGTACAAGCTGCATCGATACAACTTTCCGAACTACCTCGTGAAGATCATCAAAAACTACTTGTCGGGCAGATCATTCCAGGTCTACTTGAACAATGTCTCCTCTGATACGTTCAACGTTGATGCAGGGGTCCCTCAAGGTAGCCTGCTTGGGCCTATCCTATTCAACATTTTCACGTCAGACGTTCCTCCCCTGCCGGGTGGTGGTATCCTGTCAATGTTCGCAGATGACACCTCCATCATCTATAAGGGTCGAGTGATCCGTGCTCTGGCGAGTAAACTACAATCAGGCCTGGATGTTTTGTCCGACTATTTTAAGAGCTGGAAGATTTGTATCAATGCAGCTAAAACACAAACCATTCTGTTTCCACATTCGTATTCACCTCGGCTTGTCCCGCCTGCTAACGTCAAGATCCACCTTGATAGCACTCCCATTGAATGGTCGAGTGAAGTAGTCTACCTTGGTCTCACCCTCGATAGCAAATTGCTATTCCGATCCCATGTGGACAAGACATCCACCAAGTGTAACATCTTGATCAGGTCGCTCTACCCTCTGATAAACAGGAAGTCCACCCTGTCCCTCAAAAACAAGCTTGCTGTCCACAAGCAAATCATTCTGCCGGCTATTGAGTATAGTATGCCAATCTGGGAGAGTTGTGCTAAGTGCCACCACTTAAAGCTTCAGAGGATCCAAAACAAGATCCTCAGAATGATCCTTAACAGTCCACCGCGAACTCGTAATTCTGAGATTCACCACCTGGCCGGTCTTCAAACACTCGAGGAGCGAAAGACTTCCACGCTGGAAAGGTTCAGAGTCGCCTGTCTGCGATCAAACCACCAGATCATTCGTGATTTGGCAACCTAGTTTAAGTAGTTAGGTGCTCAAGTAGGTAAGTTATCAAATTTTTAAATTCAAACCAAAA